GACACCAGAAGCTGGCTAAATCTAAAAGTGAAAATACCCACATTCAAGATTTCTCACATTTTTTTTTATATAGACAATTTGGATTCCTCAAAAGAAACAGCTGTAAATATTTTGCTTTTAGTGAAATATCATATACATTGCAGCAAGTGGAGAGGGAATAAACCCTCATTTTCTATTAATGAATCTAAATCGTATTATTGCTCCCAGATCACAATAGAAAATTGGAAAACAGCTAAATCCACCTCCCACCTGATGGCCAAATTCCTGTTATTTTGATGACTTGCTCCATGTAAAAATGTAGTTTATTTATTTTTTATTTTTTTATTCATTTTGTTTTTGATATGGAATTTATATATTCTTATTCTACAACGTCCCCTAGCGTGTTCGTATGTTTACACTTGCCCTCTGCGTCTATTTGTATATGTTCAAAAAAAAAAAAAAAAAAAAAAAAAACACTGAATATGACACTAAACAAACAGCACCATCTGCTGGTGATGTCTTGAAAGTGCAGACAGCGCAGCCTTTTTTCTAGGTGAGAGCGTGACACAGTGGAGAACGATAAATAATACAGGTGTTACGTTTTCTTAATAATTGAGCAAGAAGGTGCGTAATAAGAAAATGATGATTTGAACAGATCTAATAAATAAGAACACAACCAACAGCAGCAAAAAAAATAAATAAATAAAATAAAAAATCTACAACATTCTAAAAAATATTCAACGGCTAACGTCTATTGTTTATTTATTATTGTCAGAATACTTTTAAATGAAAGCTAAATTTAGTTTTTAACATTTTAAAACCTCCTCTGGTTTAACATCAGGCTCAGTGAAAATTCTATGGTGTGTGACGTCACGAGCCACGAGCTCTCCGCTCGTGACGTCACTTTGGCTTTGTTCTTGTTATGAGGTAAGTAAGTCTTTCTTTATTTAAGTCTTTACGTCACAAACCAAGTATGTGGGTGTTGACTCTCCAGTCGTTATTTGAAGTCAGAACAGCAAACTAGACACAAGAAAGTTTCAGTTACTCACAAACACTAATCACTACTAACAACAAGGCTACAAACAGCTTTTATTATTATTATCAAATTAATTTTGACTATTATGGATATGAATATGAATAACAGTCAGCTTGATGAGGGAGACGCTGGTCTGCACTGTCCTTTAGATGAGCTGATTCCAGACCTGTCCCCAGAAGAGTTGATGCCTGCGCTGCAAAATATGCTCGAGCCATTTACCACACAAGACCTAGACCTACACCCTTGTCCAGGGCGGCCTTGACGGAGTCATTTTTAGATTTTATTGAGTCAGTGGGAGATAGAATTTTAGTGGAGCTCGAAAGCAAAAGGCTATTGGGCATACAGGAGGGCCAGCCTCTGTTTGTGTCTGAACAGTCTGTGGTAGAAGCGCTGACCGCCGCTCTGGAGCCCTATGGTCCTGTCATGGCACCTGCTAATGGCAGTCCACTCGTCCCTATGCTCAGTCACCATGTCACGGGCTGTGTTAACTCTGCTCTGAGTGTCAGTGAGGTTAGAAACAGCAGGCTCATTCTACCTGACAGAGTAGATTACGCAGTACCAGACGAGTACGTGAAGATTATGGTGGACTATGTCCGTGGTATGTTCCAGGTGGTGAGAAACGCCCCGTCATTCTGCTGCTGCTGCAATGTGCACAGCTCTCCAGATGTGGGCGCTGCATAGACCCACCCACAAAGGATCACTCCCCCCTTAGCTACCACCACCCCACACACACAGAGAGTCATTAGCTCCTCTGTCACCAGCACTCCCATCTCTTTCACGTCAAAGAGAAAAACTTCCAGTTCAGAGGGATGGCGCAGGAAAAACTCCTGTATATGGTCCCTGTATAGTTGGGGTTTGGACGACTGCAGTGGTCTGATGTATGAAGTGGCCTGTCGTTTGTGCAAAGGCCAGAGCAAAGAAAACAAGCTCATTGTAGCTGGAGAACTTCGAGATCGACTGATGGAGAGGCTGAGCGAGCTCAATGTCCGTGTGGCTCCCGATATGTACAGCCTGATGAAGATCACCAAAGCTGTGTCCAAAGAGGTGTGCAGGAACAGGAACAAAGGTTTGGTTGCCATGGCTATATTCATTGATGATAATTTCAAGACCATGATTGTAGATCTCGTCTGCAAACATCTCGAGAATCTGCAGATTCCAGGTCTATGTACGTCAATTCTGAAAAAGCTGTGGAACACATTTTGTTCCCCCCACACCAACCTTTAACCTTCACCCAGCTTTAGCCCCATTCCCATAAAACACCCATGGGTGACAACGGGGCTTTAAATTAGGTTGCTTGATTCTCCGCAGCATTAGATCAGTCCTGTGACTTAAGATCTGGTGAGGCGGAGAGAGGCAAAAACAAAGGGGTAAGGTGCAGAACTGAAAGCTTCCATCATCATTCTTTTATTTATTTATTTATTTATTTATTTGAGACTGGGACAGCGCACAATTTTTGCATTAACCTTAACAGGAGAGATGCATTGTACATCAGGTTGTAGCATCAGTGTTAATTTCCACCTGTAGCCCCTGGGCAGGTTCACTGATTGATTGTATTTAACTGACTTTGACTATCAACTGTTCTGGAGTCCCGGTCTCAGTTCTGGTCTGGTCCCAGAGAGCAAAAAGTATTTGCGGCGGAGGTACCCAGAGATTTCGCCGCGGATCTGCAGAACGGATCTACAAGAGAGTCCACTTGTACATCGCGACAGATCCCCAACTAATCCACCACGTGGAGACGCAGCGGATTAGCAGCACCTCCGCCGTGGATCCGGCAAAATAAAGCCGGGCCTGCAGCGGAGGTGCTGCTCATCCACCGCGTATCTCACGGATCCGCCCAGGACACGTTTTGGATCCGCTTTCAGAACCGGGTTATCTGCCCCGTACCTGCCCCGGGTCTGTTTATTATGTCGTTAGGAGACTAAATATGCTTCAGATTTGATCTGATCCACTTTTTTCTGACCCCAAATACACACAGGCAGCATTTGCATTGAAACTGTACATAAAATACCTTCTACAGCAAGTATCACAACCAGGACCTTGATGTATAAAAGTAAAAACAAGAACCTCAACAACTGAGGGGAGAACTTTAGTAAGAGCCTGAGTATGAGCGTGAGACGTATTTCACTGCTGTTAATATACTATACTCTACTACATATACTTTCACCACAACATTTAAAATGGTGCTCATGGTCAAATATCAATGCAATTAAGATGTGACACATTAGTGGCCATATTAAGATGTCAGATCTTTCACTGAAAGCCAGAAGCACCATCGCAAATAAGAGGAAGTTTGGGACAAAGTCAGTTAAGGCTATAAACTAAATCCTCACTGTCATAGAAACCATGAAAAGTACTTACTTCTGATCAGTGTGCAGGGTCTCCTGATGAGGACACTCAGCAGAAGAACTGTCATCTCATAGAACAGATCCATATGTCATCTGAGGAAAAGAAAAAAGTTTTGGTTGGCTAGCTAACGATAGTTGTTGTTAGAAGTTTGCTGCACCTTAGTCTTGAGAGTCTACACTTTACACAGATAATAATTATCTGTGGTTAAAAAACACAACCAGTTCAGTCACCGGTGTCTCTGTCGCTCCACAGCCGAGGGGAGAGCATCAAGAGCGGTGTCCAGCCAGAACCGAGCCCGTTAGACACGACCAGTGATCACAGAGCACAGTTATAACTCTGTGATCGTAAAAATATACAAGAATATAAGTATATATTAGACTGGGATCTACCTCAAGAAATAGATTTGTCCAGACTCCTGACTTCACATCTCTTCATCACGTTAGCTGCTCCTGTCGTTAGCTTTATTGCTACTGCACTCGTCAAAACTGAGAAAACACACAGTCACAGACGTACAGACATCACAATCTAACATTAACGTTGTGTACATTAATGATGACTAATAAAATTAACTTTTAAACAATGACTTACAGTTAAATCCGCGGACAAAAGGTGGGTGTTGCTGATAAGTCAGTGGCGCGTCCGCGCAGCGAATCCGAACCGGTTTAGCCGCGGACCCGCTCATTGTGTTAAAAGTCCTAAACCAGGACTAAACAAGAACTGAACCAGGACTAAACCAGGACTGAATCAAGAGTGCTGGGACTGGCCCGGAGGTGCCCCCGCGTAGACTGTTGGGTGATCAGGAAACCGGGACCAGACCAGGACCTGTTTTAGTCCTGGTTTAGTCATATGCGGTGCAAAAGTACGGCATCACAGTTAAGTCACGTAAACGGGAAATTTCGGCCGTTATTCGTTTTTATCATTTTGGTTTTGGAGACAAATAATGAAGAAAATAGTTTTTTCGTTTTGTTATTTTTGGTTTTATTTTGAAAAACGAATGATACACGGTTTCTTCATCTTCCCCCTTTCTGACTGGTCAACCCCTCCTCCTCCTCCTCCTCCCCCAGCTCTCTACAAGTGCAAATCAGTTTTGCCACATGCACATCGCAAAATGTGTTGCAAAAGTCAATGCGCGCAGATTTGAAGCTGCTGGGACACATTTGAGAAGTTGCAGTCGCTGAATTGTGGTTGTATCTGTCATAATGGATGCAGATGTCACTCTGTTCATGCAAATATCAATCTACACATTAATTCATATTTTTCTCCCGTGTGTAAATATTTTCCACAAGTGAAAATTTCAATCCGCAAGTGCACAGATTTTTTTCAAGCACTCGTGTGTTTTTTCTCACCGTGACTGCAAATTCAACGTATATTAAAATAGGTAATTACAAGTTCAAAGTTTTGCTCTACACATTCTCACATTATATTCTACAAGTTCTCAAATCAAGTTTACACGCTTTCCCATTTTGCAACATATTTACCTTCATATTCACTAAACTTCACTTCACTAAATCCCACTAAATTCACTAAATTCACTTCACTAAATCCCATAAAACAAACTAATTAGTATAAAATAATTTCTCGTGTTTTAACTGGGTCATCTCACGTACACACTGCGCATGCGCTCCACCGTGCCTGTCAGTACCATAGCAACAGCGCACAGACGTCCACAGACAACATGGTGAGCATTTTCTGGGACATATTTCAATAATTTCCCCCAAGCAATCTTAAACTAATGATTGTGCAACGATGGTTATCCTACACCCGGGCTTCTAGTTGTAATTGCAAGCTAATTTGATGTCGCTGGATGCTAACCATGGCTAAGTAACTTTAATTAGCTAGCTTGCGTTGCCTCATACTTGTTCTGTGGTTGTTTTAGCCCTAGTTTAACAAATGCATTCATTCAGCTATGTATACACAGAAAAAGCGTGCGTTTTTGGACACGACTTTGCATCAAGTTTAGGTTATCTCAGTGCAATAACGTTATATAGAACAGTTTATAAAGATCCCGACTTGCTTGTTGTTATAATAATTCTATAATTCGCTGTTTCTAGGCAAAAGTAACAACTGTACGAGAGGCTCTGTCCAAATGGGTAAGCATTGCATGTCTTGCCATTAACTTTTGAGGGCCTGGTTTGCTATAATAGTAATAATAAAGTAATAACTTACAATTTGAGGTATGTTATATTGGTTATAGGAGGAGAAGACAGGCGAAAAAGCAAATGAAGCCAAAGCAGTGAAACTTTATGGTCAGGTGCCCCCCATAGAGAAGATGGACCCCTCTCTCTCCACGCTCAGCAACTGCGAGTAAGTCCTGCAAAAAATTAAATCAGAAAGAGACACACAAATATAACATAAACTGGATTCTTGTGAGCTTTAAGTCATGTTAGAATGTTGTTACCTCCTCAAAAACTACTACTACTACTTACTACCGTGACCAAGTTATATGCTTTAGCAGAATAGTTTATGTTAAAATCAAATAGTGTTCTTCTATTATTCTTGAATCTCTCACTGTGAAATCTATTATACCTTATTGTAAAACACATTCATTAAGTCCTGGTCTTTACATATTATAAAAGAGTATTTATAGTTTAATATTTTTGCCTCTTACAGGAAACTATCGTTGTCTACAAACTGCATTGAGAAGATAACAAATCTCAATGGTCTAAGTAAGTTTTGAACATTGACGTGTCTATGGCACACTTATGAGTTATGCCATTGCTGATGATATGTTTTATTTCGGTTGCAGAGAATTTAAAGATATTATCACTGGGTCGAAATAACATCAAAGCACTGACTGGTTTGGTGAGTCCATATAACACAGAAAATACTGAAAGTTACTATGAGAGATGCCGCAGTGTTTGACTTAATGTGCGTTTTTAAATTGTGCACCTATGTCTGCGAGTGCAGGAGGCTGTTGGCGATACACTGGAGGAGCTGTGGATTTCTTATAACTTAATTGAGAAATTAAAAGGTATCCAAAGTATGAAGAACCTTAAAGTCTTGTACATGTCCAACAACCTGGTCAAAGAATGGGGTAAGATATAAGTTAGAAGTTCAATTTTTAATTATATTTTAAGGTTGTTGCAGTATTTCTTTATTGATTGTGTAGTACCTTCATAACAAACATCCTAATTATAATGTGGGCATACCGACTTGTCAAAGCCTGATCCCATCAGATCTCAGAAGCTAAGTAAGGCTGGACCTGGTTAGTACTTGGATGGGAAAATCAGGTGCCACAGGGGGGCGCCAGTCGTAAAAACTGTTGTTGTGTCCTTAGCAAGACAATTCATCCACATTGCCCAGTATGAAAGTGGTGTATGCGTGAGTGATGGTGGTGGTCAGAAGGGCTGATCGCGCTGATTGGCAGCCTCGCTTCTGTCAGTCTGTCAGTCACCGGATATGGAGTGAATGAATAATGCTCTGTAAAGTGTCTTTGAGTGTCCAAAAAAACACAATATAAAACTGATGCACCATTATTATTAAAGTAAATACATAAATCCAGTTGTTGTTGTTTTTTGCTTAGTTATTCCATTATATTTATCAAACAACAAAGCACTGTCATTTTATCTGCCCATATCTGTCTATCTTTGACTCAAATGTTACATCATTGTCAACTTTTTTTTTTACAGCATATTCATAGAATTAACATGTGTCAAAGCAATTTTAAAAAGTGACCAAAGAAGCTATATATAAACTCCTAAATTACTAGAGAATAGATCTAACACAGTATCAGAATACAATTGTGTAATAATTGTAATATCCTCATTGTTTTACTATTAGAGTGGTCTTCATAGAAAATTGTGGTGTCACTTGAAACCTTGACTTTTAATATTGTAAAATTCTTAATGACGCAAGTCATTTTTTGTTTTCTTTCTTAGCTGAGTTTGTGCGGTTAGCTGAACTGCCCTGCCTTGTGGACCTGGTTTTTGTTGGTAACCCTCTGGAAGAAAAGCACTCGGCCGAAGGAAATTGGATGGAGGAGGCGTCAAAGAAACTCCCCAACTTAAAAAAACTGGATGGTGAGAATATTTGTTATTTACTGCTCTGGTGGTATTGGTGTTTTTCAGATTCTATGATGTGATGGTGTCATAGTTCTAGATAGAGGCAAGAGACAGTTTTCTGACTGATTATATTGTACTTTGCCATGATATATCTAAAAGATGAATGTGCAAATGTTAAACTTGGTTATTTCTAGTACTGACTAAACCCAAGAACTCACTGTAGAACAAAATCTGCATTTTAACAAATACATTTTAGTTGCCCCCATCTGTATTAATTATTATTAGCCTATAGAGTGGTGTTGGTGTGATGCCCTCTGAAACACTTGACAAAAAATGCTTTTTTTTTACTACTACAGTAATTAACTTTAAGGTTAGACACCGCAGGTGAATTGGAAAAAATCTTAAATATAGAGATATCATTTTCAAACTTCTCCTGCCGTTTACTCACGTAAATGTAAAAATGGTAAACATTTTTTCCATCATGTAAGGTTTTCATTTAAAAATTAGTCATTCTATGTGCAAAAAAACTTTAATTAATAATTAATAACTACATTTAAAAAAATTTTTGACATGTTTAAAGTTTTTGCTCCTTTTTGTTGACATATTAGATATTAAAAAGTATACAGAAGAGTTAAAACTTGAATAGATCAGACTTGGAATTAGATATAAAAAAAAGTGGCTTTAATCAGAATCTTTTTTATATCCTGGTTGGTTTTTGGTTTTTGGGGTGACACTAGCTTATTTTGTCTACTGACATGAAGGTTGGCAGCTCTCGACATAAACATAATTTGTTGAGTGATCGCATCCACTAATCCACTGGTTGGCAGTGCGATTCCATCTCCCACAGATAAATATTGTTGTTATGTCCTTGGGCAAGACACTTAACCCACTGTGCTCCTATAGTGTCTGTGTATGAATATGTGTGTGAATGAGTGGTTCCTTGATGTGGTGAGTGGTTCGCTTTGAGTGCCTTGAGGGTGCAAAAGTGCAAAAAATAAAAAAACAAAAAACATGTACCACTTAATTTTGTTTATTTTGTAGGAACACCAGTGATCAAACAAGAGGTGGACGATGGAGAAGCCGATATCTGAAGGATGGAAAGATTGTCCATGTTTTTGTCTGTTGTTCTTATTACCATTATAAGCAAATCCAGATGTAAAATTTCAAAGGGCTTGCGGAATAGCCAAGATAACTACTGCTGTTTACATTATAAGCACAGTTCATGATGCAGTTGTTCATGTTAAAATCATTCTAAGCTATGAAGGATATTTTTAGTTTTATAAATGTGTTTTTACTATCACAAAAAGCACACAGGTACCATAGGACCAAGTGTTAAAGCAACATTACTGGACATTTTTTGGTCCAGTGTCTCGAAGAACAATTTTGTAAACAGAAAATTGTACGCTCCTATTGTCTTTGGTTCAAATTACCAAAGCAAACTGGTCTCCTTAAATTTTCTCAGGGAGTATCTCAAAAGTACCTTAATTTAATAATGAAGCAAATTGTAGCATTGTTTTGTAATAAAATAAAAAGGGACTTGATGCCTGAAATAATCTCTGCACTGTGTTGTGAGCGCTTCCTCTGCCAAATACTGGACTTGTTTTGGCACAGGTTTAATCTGTGTATTTCTCTGTAATCTGTTGCATTTGTGAATAATTTAGTCTATTGTATTCCGTATTGTCATGTAATAGTTTGTTGAGAGATTGTACATTCCACCTATTTCATTTCATTTCATACCTACAATCTTAGAGGTTTGGGTTAATGAATGTAGCATTTAATTGTAATTGTATGTTGTCAATGTATTTTATGTTATAAATATCAATTGTTGATTGTTTTTTAATTACCTAAAATAAACAAAGGTACTATTTCATTTTCTGCTATCTTGACTTTTTAATAAAATACTTACATCAGCACGTGAAATTATATTTGGTTGGGTAAATAAAACAATTTTCAATTCATTTATTCAATTTAAATATGTTTACTACATTTATAATTCAATAAAATTACAAAGTGAGTACTTTATTCCGAATCACCTTTTTGATTGGTCAAGCGCAATTTCTTTCGACGCTCTGATTGGATAATAGGGATGTCTTTTAAAACTGTTGCTATGGAAACGAACCAAGAACCAGGAAGTGAGTTTGTACCGCGAAATATCAACATTTTACTCCTCGAAAAGGTCACTTATTTTCACTACTCCACGTCAAAACACGGCCAGTGCTTTGTGTTTTAAGTATGCGGGACAAAATATTTTTAAATTAGTTTGCAAAAATGCAGAAAAGTAAAGCGTCAGCGAGTGTAGAAGTGAAACAGGTCATTTTAACGCTGTGTAAAGTGCTGTCTGCGGCTGGACTCGGCTCTGTCCCCGCTCCTGAGACCTTTAGAAGAGCCAAGTTTGGCGGTGGACCCGATGTGGTAAGTTATTTGTCAATAGTTATTAGTATCTATTACAAAAATGTTTACAATTGATAGATTAGATCCCGTTCTGTCCTTCAAAAGGAACTAATTCATGTCTAATCTACAGTATCTTTTCAATAATCGTGCTCATTTATTATTTCACATATGTATAATTATGTTTAATGTTATTTTAAATCATTTTATTATGAACAACTGCAAAAAAACTACATTGTTGATGCTTATACTGATCTTATAACCTCTTAGCAGTTTGGGTTCACGTCACATTGGTTGAATGTTTCCATTGTCAATCTTTAATCAATCTAATTAATGAGTATAATGAATTAATTGACATAGGATAGTCTAATGATCTAATCAGGATTCTCTGCTTACAGGAAGAACACCTTTGGGAGCTTCTGGCCAATATCCTCGAAAAAACAGATCCTGTTTCACTCGCAGTGAGCCAAAGACATCCAAAGACAGGTCAGAAAATCTCATTACAACATGTTCCCCTCTTCTTTTACTTTTTTTTTTTTTTATTATTTGCAATTTATTCAGTGCTTTTTTTTGTCCACATAAGTCACAGTATATATGCCCTCTTCTTTTACTTATTTATCACTTAAAAACCAATAGTTAGACTACATTTAAGGCTAGGTGGGGGGATACAATCAGTGAAACAAATATTAGCCATTTCTTTGTTTAGTTTCTTGAATGTTGAACACTTATGAATAAATGACTGTATCCATCAACCAAAAACTGCTCATACAAAAAGATTGAAATTCAAACTATGCAGATAAACAGTGCAGTTTAAATCTGGTGGGATGGATCCAAAATGCCTTTATAATGCAAAGTCATGCAGTTTCCTGGTATAAAATGTATAAAAACAATATAAAATCCATGCCAATACTTCAAATTCAATTTAAGTAAATGCAATCCAGAAAATTAAAATAAAACCAACTAATTGGTTTCCTGTTTTTGTTTCTGCCTGGCTCACACATTGAGCAGTTTTTGAATGTTTTTGTTTTTTGAGTTCAGCTTTTAATATCACATAGAGTTTTAAAAACTAAGAAGCGCAACATGTGCAGTCCACAGGACACACGTAAGGGCCTGTTGGATTTTGTGAAATGAGCTGTTTGTTTTTTCTGTATACATGGAGACCACTTCACACAAAAATATTGGACACGCATCTTGATAGTTTTCTGTTTTGCATATACAACATTTTCAATCAAACCTGGTTGACAATATAGCTGATTTTATTGATAGTTTTCAGCTTCCTGTTATATGCAGCATTTGAGGATTTTTTTTTCCCAGTCAAAAGATATCGTGCCATTGATTTTGTCAATCATAGCAACTGTCCCTCCTCTAAATCACTTCTCCTCATTGTTATATATTTTTTCCCTGTACAGAGCGTTGGAAGCTGGTGGCTGCAGGGCTGTGGCAGACTGGGTACTATGCAGACTGGATGTACAGAGAGCCCAGAGGAGGAGAGGGGTGTGTGGGCGCGTTCTCCAGCAGAGACCTCCTCCTTGCTCTGGGCTGGATCATTGCCAAAGGGGCCCTGGAGAAACTCCTGTCACAGAGAGTGGAAGACCTCGACACAACTCTGCTCACATCCACACCTGTGAACACGGTACAGTAATGACAAATGTAGTAGATATATGACTCCACTTGTAATTACAGGGATTAAGATCTGCAAGATGAGTCACAATCTCAACAAAATTGGAGTTTCAATTGAAGCTCATTGCAGATAGCATTCATTGGCAATTGTTTTTGTCCATGAAGCTAATTAGTAACAGTAAAGTAAAAATAAAATGGAGTTCAGGCAGTATGAGAAAGAATGTTTTATAATGTTGTAAAATGTATATATAGTCATCCATTTCTAGTTTCAGTGTTCATAATTTAAAAATCAGTGACTGAACTAAGTATTCTTTATTGTTTAGTTTTCAACAAACACGTTCGGAAAGCATATTCATTCATTTATTTTATTTGAAATTAATTTCAATTAATTTAAGTTTTCTCTCAAAATTTATTAGCTCTCAATTTTTTTTTACTATGGGATTTAGAACTTTTAATTTAGATTACAGCCTTTTATGTCACTATAAAAAAAAACAACAAAAAAACATTGCGGTATTTCTTCTTGCATGCACTTATAGAGAAAGGGTCCAGACTAGTTTAAGTTTATTTGTAGAGCAGAGTTCATACACAAAGTAATTTACAGAGCACAACAACAACTGAAAACTGAAATAATCATAATCAAATTTAGTTAAGTGGGGGGTGAAGAGGGTGTAGATAGAATCTTTATTTGTTATTGTTTTGTGTTGAAGGAGAGCCCTAAAATTTCCAGTGAGCTCCAGTTGGATTCAAACTCTCTGCGGAGGCTTCAGTGGTCTTTGGGTTCACTCAGACACCAGGGCCGGATACTACTGTCTATGCAGGAGGAGCGGGCAAGTCTTCTGCATAAGGTGAGAAAAACACTGCTCCTGGTGTGTGCTGTTGTGTCATTGGGCAAGACACTTCACCTACCTAACCTGTGTGAAATTACAGTTTGAAAAAATATATTTATGCAATTATTCTAGTTATTTAGACTACTTTTCTATCTTTTTATATGCAAATATAAGTTTTGATGATGGAGCTACCTCATAATGTAAAGTCCAGACTTTAGACCAGGTCTAAAACAGGACTTATCTTGGGTACTGAGCTCTGTTTAGACTAGAATAAGTCTAACTATAACACAGAACTGACATATAAGGAATTTAAGTTACACTTTATAACAGGAGAAGGTCCTGAGAAGTACTACCACTAGAGGGAGCCAATTACTTTTACATTACTTGACTTTACTTTACATTTATAGATGACATAAAAATCTTTGTAATAAACTTCAAATCTTTTGTTTCAGGTTTTGAATATGGACCTTCCTTCACATGTAGAGGCTGCGTCCTCTGATGAAGGATCTGCATTAATAAAAAAGGTCAAAACTTTGTTTTTGTATTTTTGATTTTGCTCATTAAAATTTGCACTGGCCAAAATCTGATCAGCTTTCTGGAGTTATCAGATTCCGAAACATCTGTCTGATGTTCACACCTGTTTTGTCTGACAAAGAAAACTTGGGCAAAACTATAATGAAAATACATTAAAATTAATTGTACTTTGGGATTTTTACTGAGCATATAAATGTACCCACTCATTCTCTACACTTGTATGTATTTATTTTAGGACTTTTTGTGGGCAGAACAAATTTTACTCAAATACATGGGAAAAAAATTAAGTACCAGCCCATTAACAGTGCTTTATTAAAATATATGCAATTGAAAATAACTGTCCTTGATATCAAGTGATACAGAGACTGAAAACAGTATTTATTTCCCTAAAGCAAAAATAAAAAAAGACCAAATGGATCCAAATGTGTTGTTGAGAGATAAATCACAACTAAATAACTATAGAACAGCTTTGTATAAATAAAAATTCAAACATTATGAGACTTACTATGACTAGTAAATAAGATATATGTAATTGAAACTAACTTAATCATTAATATTGACTTAATATTCCTGTGCCTGTGTCTGTAGGACTGTGCCTGTCTGCAGGAGCTGTGTGATCTGATGGAGGCCTATTTAAAGTGGAAACAAGTAGAGAGTGTTTTCTGGACTTGGATGGTGAGACAAAAATACACACACAGATGAACTACTTCGAGTTTATGATAATAATAATAGTACTTTTTATGTGTATTTTTAGGACAGCGTGGTGGACGGTCATCAGACAGATCTTGACACCAGAGAACCAGTCCAAGCACCTGAGAAGGGTTCAGTTTGTCTCCATGGAAACCGAGGCTTAGAAAAATTAGAGGAGATCCTTCAGAGACTTTCTCAAACACAGGTGCACGGCTCTATTCAGGATTAACTGATCTCGTTTCCAGGCGACGCAGCCCCTCCTACTTTCTGTTCAAATGCAGGAGGTATGGAGCCAAACCACAGAACGTGTCCAATTTTGGAGCTAACAAAAAAAGAAAGTTAGCTAAATTGTACAATATGATGAAAAACATGAGCTGCAATAAATAAATAGTAGAATGAAAGACTTTTGTAATGAATTTGTGGCTATAATGAGTCAAAATCAGCTCTAATCTAACTACTACAACCCACTACTACTACTACAAAGAAAATGTAAATGTAAAAACTATAAATATTGACCCCCCCAAAAATTATTGTTCTATTTATTGTGTATTGACTGAAGTCATTATAGTAATTATAGTGACAAGCCTAATCACATCCAGTAATTTTTTGCATGTGTTTCTCAAATATGAAATGAACCTACTTTTGAAAATATTTGTGTATCATTCAGAACAAAATATATAACTTCTTTTAGCTCATATACATGGAGTTTAGTGCTTTGCTTGTTTCCACAGAAATCTGCAATTTTCTGTTATTTTTTTCTTATTTTTTACTCGTAAACCGCCATGTTTGCTTTGACCTGTACAGACACTGCACTGCTTTGATTGGTTAATCCACCTGTCATTTACGGCCATCAGAAATCAGAGAGACAGCACTTGGTTCCAGACCCAAACATCTTTGTAAAGCATTGTATGTGGCATGTGGCTGGCCAGGCAACTAATTTTGCATTTCTACTTGCAGAGACTAACCAATGTGGGTTAAACCAAATTCAACTCAATTACATGAGTTTTGATTAAAAAAAAAACACTGTAAGCCAACATTTACCATTGTAATAGAATTAACGGTTATGTCCAATCACTTTTTAAAAAATTCAAAGTTGACTTCATTGTTCAATATAATGCAGGGATAACAGGAAGGAAAATCGATTCAGATTGTTATGTCAAAACAACTTTTTTGATTCTAATTCTAATCTTCTTTCAAAACTTCAAAACATATCTATATATAATTTTATTTAATTTTTTTAGGCAGGACCAAACATGAGTTTTGGAAGAACATCTATAAATCAGATATATTTAACTAATATCTTGCATTACAATCAAGCTGTCTGTTATGCCAAATCGCTTTTAAAATATTCAAAGTTGTTGTCATTCTTTCGTGTAATGTAATAATAACAGAAGAAAGAAGAAAATTGAGTGTTGAGTGTCAAAACACAAAAAACTCCACAAAACTTCCACAAACATTTCAGCACATCTATATTTCAATTTTTATTTCTTTTTAGGCCAGACCAAACAGGGTGGATACCAAGCACCATGTACCTGATGGAGCAGAGGGTGGATGTGACTCCTCTCTCCTCCTTCGACCTGACCCTTCTCTGCCCCTCGTTTACAGACCTAAACTCCTTAAACCTGGGACTAAACCTGGTCTTGTTTCCCCTCTGGAGGTCTCTGCTGTGGAGGTCTCAGAGCTGCTCACACAGAGAGAGAAGGAGCTGCTAATGGAGAGAGACACACGGAGGAGAGAAAACAGGGTGAAGCTGGAGGAGCTGGTGGAGGAGCTGGAGGCACTGGTGCTCATCCCACCTTAAAGAAGACACATTACACTTTTCTTTAGTATTTAATAATAAACTATAACTTAAACAGATACTTATTTCACATTTTCTTCATTGTAAACTGTAATACTGATCTAAAATGGGATAATACAAACTGGTCTATTGACTTCCTGTTCAAAACTGCAAAACTACCGCCTTTTCATAAAGTCATTTCATCGTAGCCAGCAGCAGATTTTCATTTACAATGTTTTTCTGGTTGAAAAATTGCAACAGGGAATTCCTGAAACCTACATGCCTCATATTGTCAACCAGTACAAATCAAAAGAAGGGAAAACTTAACAAGATTAACTTATCTATGGGTTCAGAGTGATGAATTGTTAATTGCCATAGCAATTAACAATTCAAAGTAAAAAGTTCTATCTTGTGAATGAGTGAGCAAAAGTAGATGTAAAGTGTAAGTAGGTGACAAACTCGCTTGGGGTGCACCTTCAGCATTCTTGTAACATTTTTTAAACCATTCTAACCCAAGAGGAAATAGTTCTGTTTGCAGTGTTTATGTAAAGCTCCTTTATAGACTTTTATTCTCAGGTTTATCCAGTAGAGTTTTATAACCAGGAGCTTCTGCATGTAGGAGTTGAGCCACTGCGTCTCCATAGACGTGAGCAGTGTACTCCTCTCTCTGAAGGCGATGCCATCGGCCACTATGCTCCTCTTCAGCCCTGACCCAGGAGACCAGAGACCAGGCCAGGAACACAGCACAGGAAGACCGCATGGTACACTTCTATAACATTTGTATTGTCATCAGTTGTTAATTGGTGTTGGGGACAAAATTATATCTCTCTCTTGAAGATAAATAATGAATCCATTTGTGAAGCCCGATGAGTTTTTGGAATATAGATCAAGGTTTATTCTTGTTACAGCAGATATGGACAGGGCCTAGGCCTGCCGTGGTCAGAGCCAACAGCTTCTCTCCACCAGCAGTAAGTCCCTACCACATCTTGCCCCATCTTCCAAGTATCTCCCCCAATATCTGCCCCAGGCTCTGCCCCAGAGCATTTGAGCTCTGAGTATTTATACAGAAATACAAGTTACATACATATCAAAGCAGAGTGACTTTGGTTTCAGAGGCTGGTGCTAAATAAACATACAGTTGAGGACAGGTAAGACAACAGAGGGCTTCCTGAAGGAGAAGACAGTTGTGTCTGATGAACCTTTACGCATGTTAATGACTGGACTGGGTTTCAGGTAGAAATTACATTCATTTACACAAAGACAGAATGAGAGAAATCTTTCCACAATCTAAATTTCTATCACAATTGGCTCACATTGTATAATCTGTGGTGCAGTATTCTGATTTCTCAAAACTGGAGCTGTACTGAGCATGTGCGAACTCAACTAACAAAAACGGTAGCAGTTACTTTACTGAAACGACTTAAATTCCTACCAGGACTTTTTAAATAATATTTTATACTTATAAACAAAATAAAGCAGTCTACTGTTTAATACAGCCACCTTTTAACAGCAGGCTCACCTATGTGGTGGTTTGTGTAGCTCTTGAACCAAACTGACTCTGTGACAACTCACATGGTGTTAAAAACCAAAGAGTAAAAGTGCGTCTTAAGACGAAACTTAAAACACTCCAATGTGGGGGCTGGTCGCACGTGGGGGGCAGAGTGTTCCAAAGCTTTGGGCCAGCCACAGAAAAGGCCCTGTCCCCCCTGGTTTTGAATCTCATCTCAGCACCACAAGCTCTAGTCTAAGCTCGAGTTATTAATAGAAATGATCAGGTTCAACATTTATGAATTTGGATATAGATAGATATAGCTGTTAATTTTAACATTGCATTTTTAAAATATCTGAATGTATTTATAAGATGCTCTCCTTGTATTTAAGAATAAACAGAATAGAAAGCTTTTGTGGCTCACCAGAAGCACAGAGCCATTTTAGCCCCTTGTTATGGACTGTGTTGAATATAATGATCTGCAACAGGAAGCTGCTGGACCTAACACTGACTTCACTTGACCTCCCTACTGCATAACAAGTCTGACCAATGCACAAGAGACATATACATTTATATAGAAATGATTGGAATAACAACATATGAGATACACGGAAAGACAACACAGGCTTTAAATTGCACAGAACTGACTCTTGTGAGCTTTTAGTCATATTATAATGCTGTACCCTCATCAGAAACATACATGGAGTTGTGTTTAGTTTCAGTCCCAGGGCTGATATGATCCAAATGATTCTAATGAAGGGGTCTGGACTTTAAAAACATCAGAAAAGAGCATAATATGGGCCCTTTAACATTGAAAAGACTGACACTATATGTAAGATATGTTTTATTTACAAAAAAAATCCGATTATATATAAAATGTAAAACACAAACTTTACATTGTACAAAACATTCACTGTAGTAATACTGCTTTGCTATGTCCCTGCTTTATAGAATAGCTGTAGTTTTTAGCATCACAACAAACTTAAAGCAAGTGTTAAAGTTTTGAAAGTAAACTATAATAAGGTACAAAAGTGCACAAAGAAACATGCGTCATTCGTCAGTCCAGAGGGTGCCTGACCCCAAAGTGAAAGTTCATTATATAAAACGTCTTTGGCACATTCAACATTCATGTTTTTCCATTGTCTCATGTTAAATCATTTTATTGTATTTTTTTAAAGCTAGGTTAGTTCTTAGATGGGAGACTGCTGGGAAAATCAGGTGCGACAGTGGGGCGCCAGTGACAAAAATTGCTGTTGTGTCCTTAGGCAAGAAACCGCACCCACATTGCCTTGCATGAATGTGGTGTGAGTGTGTTTGTAGTCGGAGGGGCCAAAAGTGCAGATTGGCAGCCTCAGTTCTGTCGGTCTTGTCCCAGGACAGTTGTGGCTACAGTACAAGCTTAGCACCACTGAGTGAATGAATAATAATGAATAGATAATTGTGAAACGTCTGTAAAAGTGTTAAGGAATTAGTATTATGACAAATTAGCAAATGACTAGATTGTAATTTATCCTTTTTACGAGAAACACGTTTGTCAGTGAACATGCATTCTGTTTTAGTCTATTCCAGATTCATTTTGATTACAATTATTGGCTGAAACTATCCACAGGCAATGGTGGATGAAACCGCGTCAAAGCTTCATAAACTTTATAATAAATGATTGGTTTTGTTTTATTCTGTTTGACTAAAGATTGATGAGGACCCCCTCTTCTGTAACTTCCACCTCAGGGTCTGTGTCTGCAGTGTCCCCCAAAGAAGTGCAGTGTCCCTCTGGTGGGGAAGAATCGGTTGGAGGAGGAGGAGTCGAAGGAGGAGCCTCAGATGGTTCAGGTGAAGCAGAGGATGGAGAAGAGGGTGGGGGTACAGAGGGCGGGGCTAAAACTGGACCAGGTGAAGGTACAGGTGGAGGAACAGATGGTGGAGGGGTACTGGACGAGGCCGAAGGCAGACTGGGCAGTGGAGGTGGCAAATTTGGTGGTCTTGATGGTGGAGAAGTTGGAGAATGGACAGATGTTTGCACAGAAATTGGTTTTACATTAGGTGGAGGAATTTTGGGTGGAAGCGCTGATGGAGCAGCAGGCACTGGGGGTGGCAGATTTGGTGGACGGACCGGCAGAGGAGCATGCGAAGCAGGGGAACTGGGTGTTGGCATAGTAGGTGGTGCAATATTGGGTGGAACCACTGATGCAGCAGGCAATGGAGGGGGCACATTTGGTGGTCGGACTGGTGAAGAACCAGGGGGTAACATTGTTTTTTGCGCTGATATAGGTGGTGGCACACTGGGGGGAACCATAGATGAAGCAGGGATTGGAGGGGGCACATTTGGTGGTCGAATGGGTGGAGAAGGAACAGTCGAAGCAGGGGAGCTGGGTGATACAGCAGGCACTGGTGGAGGCACATTTGGTGGGGCAGTAGGAGGGGGTGCAGGGGGAGGGTCTTTGGGTCCAGTCCGAGCTGGGTTGGACACTGGGTGGTCTTTGGGGTGGTACACAAAACAGTAAGCTCCAGGCGTACAGCTGTTTTTCACACTTAGAGCCACCTCAGAAGGAACCAGGGGCCGGTTCTCTTCATCAATGACCACGCTGAGAATGTACGAGTCTGCAAAGGAAAGGAAGTATTATTGGTGTAAACAAGCATAGACTCAGATGCAGGCTCTATAAAGGAATCAGATTGGTAAAAGAAATAAAGAATAAACAGTGGAATAAAATGGATGAACTTCTCTTAAAGGCATTGGACTGTACCTGGGTCAGACAGTCCACGCTCTAATATTTCTTCTTTGAATCGTGAGGCGCACTGTTCGCTGAGCTGCTCGATGGTGGTGGTCGGGAGCACACCTAGAGTTTTAGGGTTTTCTCCCATAATCGGACAACAGACGGTCAGGAAATCCTAAAGCACAGAAATGTATAAGTGTAATTCCAAACTCAAAAAGGCCCATTCATACATAAGAAGAGTGTTCAACAAGGCTACAGTTGTTAGAGGAAGTGACTAAAGTAATGTGACTGCACAATCTCTGATAAGGAAATGTGTGGGATATAAACAGCTCTAGGTCAAGAATAAACTTCTCTCTTCTTATGAATCTGACTTTACTGTAGTTTTATGAAATCATCCTATACTGTAAACCCACATAAGTTACCAGAACTCAAAAAAAACTGAGGCCATCGATTGCCTCAATTACTTTGAATTGATGAACTTACAAATCACAGTATTCTCGAACTTAAAAGGCTGGATGGTTTGCTACTTGCACCTTTTGATAAGAGCTGAATTAAAAGTACTCATTTAGCTCAACTCAAATATTTGCAGTTAGAGTTTTCAAACTACTGGGATAATTTAATACATTTTCAGTTTTGTATGTAGTTCATGATTTTGTAGTAGCACATCATAAAATACACACATTATACCCACCATAGGAGGGGGATTTGAACCCAGGTCTGTGAAAGTCATGAGATTTACTAGTTGAGCTACCCAGTTGAATGTGATCTACACACAGTAAGTTATACACATTATAGTCTACTATATTATAAACACATAATATTATACATATATTCGATTATACACACACTCTAGGAGGGTTCCCCAAGTGAAAGTCAGGAGATTTACTAGTCTAATCTATATATGTATACAGTTTAATAATACATACATTTTTTAAAATTAAATATTTCTACTAAATTGTACCTCATTTAATGTTCATGTTAAGTTACGCCCACAATAGTTCCTTTTAATCAAGAAATATTAGTAATTTATTATTATTTATTAGTTTATTATTATTAGTTATTTAATTAGTTAAAATTACTCAAAAAGAAGAATATGTTAAAGCAACTTGACAACTTGACTTTGAGTATACACAACTAAATCTGTTTAATTACTTTGAACCTTCGGGTTTTCAGTGTATTTAGAGAATCTTCACAAAGCATAGTCTGAATTATTATTCATTTAGAAAAAAAAAATCATGTTAAGACCCTGATTTTTAGTATTTTTCTTTACATTTTACATCATTTAACCTTTTGTCTTAGAACCAGTCTGGACAACTGTGGGATAACACTTTTGATAACAAATTTTGATAAACTAACACTAAGAAATGATGTGTATATATCTGAACCATAGCGCTAGAGGTGGCTGATACTGACAAAAAAATAATGTCTCTTGTTACTATCGATATTTTGACAGTGGATCAGGAATAGGGATGGGCGATATATCGGTTCCAATATTGATTTCTGTTATTCACTATTGATAATTTTTTGCCTCTGCCCCATTGTCGGTGTTCCCATCTGCCATAAAGTAAAAAACAAAAAGAAAAGAGATTATATATAGTGTGAGAATAGAAGACTGTGAAGCTGTGGAGTTCACTATCACTTTTGTTTACTTTAGTGCAATGACGCTGTTTCTGTGTTTACCCGCACTGAGCCCTGGGTGGTGCTGTCCTTGTTCAAAGTTCTTCTTCTTTCCCAGCGGTGGATGGAGTCCTGCACCTCTCTGCTCAGCTGCCTCGTCGCTGTCCTCTGCTGGTCAAATGTCTTCATGTGCTCCAGAGCTCCGTATGTGGTGGTCAGATAATATGAGCCTACGCACACACACATGCGCACACAGTTGTAGTTGTAAACAATCTGAACAAACAAAACCAGAAATAACCAGGACTAAAACAGAGGTAGCTATATAAAGTACAGTAGAGATCGAAAATAGAGATTTACCAGACTTCAGACTGCAAGACTAAACCACATCTAAACTCTTGGACCAGTTCTGAAAAAGCACTAAAACTAATCCAGACCTTGGTTAAAAACGGCATAAACCAAGACTAAACCCAAAATTGTCTCTTATGATCTTTAAGTCATGATGTAATGCTGTTTCGTCATCAAAAACATACGTGTTTCATTCACACGTTTGAGTAATCCTTTATTATTATCTGTCTTTATCGCCAAAGCTCAAACACAACTCCAGGTCTGTTTGTGATGAGGAAACATTATAACACAGATCAGAAAATAACGTAATATGGGCCCTTTAAGTGTCTGTACCTTCTCCCAGGGTCAGTGCTGGGTCCATGAGCTCCATCATGTACTCCACGTCCAACTGCAGGTGACTGAGGTTCGAGCGGGCCAAGACGTACATCATCACAGGTAAGAAGTCATCTGCACCGTGAGACTTCCCTGTGGAAACACGATCACAGATTACTGTAACAGTCTTAGAGCACATTTTCAGTGGCATTAGGAGTTTTGTAGCCTGATTCATCAACCGGTTTCATTTTGTAGGAAACCATCTGACCTCACAGTATTAGAATTTGTTCGCTCGATGGTAGACAGGTACTTTTTTTATTTAACCAATCACTACTATTTGGTCGTGACGTATGTAATGCACTTTTAACGCGGCTAACTGGTATATTAAGCTTTTCCCAATTCCCATAGGAAGAACTTCGAACATTCTCTTTGTTCCGGCTTTAAATCCTCGATCATGGGAATCATTGCCAACACAGGATATGCGGCTCTTCACTGATTGTGAACTGTCTAGTGTATTCTGATTTCTGACCTAGTCGCTGGAGAGAAATGAAATTGAGTGGAGGCACTAGGTGACGCCAGCCTGGCTAGGAGTTTTGGAGGTGACTGGATAGTTAATCTGCCTGGTTCACCACTTGACCTGCTTGTCTTCATGGAAATGTTATTGCTTTGTTTAGAATGTCCCACACTATGCTATTAAACTCATCTATATCAATGGAAACATGCCCACAATGCCTCCAGGCCAAGTTACAGGTCAGATCTGTGGAGAGGTAAGATCACTCACTATAGGAATGCATGTTTTTCATAGTATTTTGAGCAGTAAAACACCGGTAACTGAATAAGTGTAACATGTTTGTAATATGAGTTTAATGCCATACTGTGAAACCTGTCAGGCAATAATATCTCCATGGCGATTCTCTTCCAGAAAACATACACAAAGCACCTTTAAGAAGATGCTGTTCGCTTACATCTCTGTATAAGCACTCTGTTATCCAGTTAATTGATGCACAGGGCCAGGAGCTGACCAAGATTTTCATGAGTCGACCACAGACCCAGTTTCCATACAGTCAAAATTGCAATTACAATTTATTGCATCATTCACTCACTCCAGACTCTGTGATGTCAGCTAGTTTTAAAAGCACAGATGCTCTGGGGTAGGCTAAAAGTGTGACTCGTTTTCCCCTCGCAGAGACTCATATTAAAAGCTGAACAAAGTGTCTTGCTAAAGGACACATCAACACTATGCACTCCTCTTGAGACAGGCTCTTGATCAGGAGTACCGAGCTACTGATACTACCCCCAATTTGTGGGGGTAGAGACTTGTTTAATAGCACAAATCATCTTACCTGTTGTAGTTCCAATCAAATCAGCTCTTTCTGGTCAGATTGTGTTAAACCAAAACTCAGATTAAAATCTAACTTGGGTAATAGAGTTTTTAACAGAGCACTGCTCTCCCAGGGAATGTTAATGACATTAGCTGCAAAGTATCAGACACAGGAAGAACATGCAAAAAAATAAATAAATCTGAGAATAGAACTTGTGACCGTCTCGTTGTGAGGCGTTGGTGCTTACCAGGTGAGCTGACGGACATGGAGTCGTAGATGATCTTGCAGGCTTTGAGCAGCATCTCGATCTTCCTCTGTGGTGAATATTCCAGGTGAAGGTTACTGAGTTTGATACTGATCTTCTCCATGGATGAAGTTTCTGGGACAGCAGTGGTCACTCCTAAAGCGGTGGTGGTGCTTCCCAGGACAATAGACTGAGGGGAGAAAGTTAGGTTAGAGAAATATGTTTTAAGGCTCGTGTAAAGTGTTGAGTGTTCAAAGAGTTTGTAATGTACCTGATTTTGGGCCAGTTTCTCGAGGCTTCCACTGTCACTGTGCAGTTTCTCCAGACACTGGTAAATGGGCTCTCTCAGAGGTTTTAAAACACTTTTACACAGAGCAGCTTCTGCAATACTTTCTGAAAATACACAATAATATCATTATTACTGATAACATAGTTAATATAACATTGACATCTGCATGACATCTTATATTAAAACATGCACACGTGTGCTATAAGTAAAGAGAATCTCTTTATTAATTTAACACAGATCAGATCACGGTGCGTTTTTTGGGGGAAACCGAAGGACACCATTTCAGACAGTGACCTTGTACAGCAGAGTGGATTTATGTATTATTTGTGAGTTCACAAACTCACGAGAATCCTTGTCGAGAGACTCCCGCTGTAAGTTTCAAATTTGCCTGACAGCAGGCAGACCGATCACAGAGCATCACTGAGTTTTGTATGGAAGTCAAACATCAAACCTGTCTGTCCCTGCAGCTGTCTGTATCTGCACCTGTCTGTATCTGCTCCTGTCAGTGTGAGTCTCTGAGTCCTTACCGAGTTTCTCTTGGCTGTACTGGTGCTGTGGCTCCATCATGTTGTGCAGTTCTGTGCTCTGCAGCAGGTAGCTCTTCAGCTGAGTCATCATCTGCCTGATCTCCTGGAGCAGCTCTGTGGAGGAGGCATGTCTGGACATCGTCTCCAGGGTGAACATGCGGTGCTCCTTCACCTGAATTTTAAAGTGCATTTTGTTATTTGATAGTGTTCAATATTGTTGTTTATCGTCAAATCTTTTTCAGCACTGTATCATAATATGGTACATTTACATTATATATATCATAATAAACACTCTTCACTAACCAGACTTCCGAAGTAGCTGGAGGGGTCCCTGGCGAGCTCCACGAGCCTCTGTGTGAGGCGGCGGTCATGGCTGATGAGACCTGTGAGGACGGAGGACAGACGGTGACGTGCCCGGCCCAGCATCACTGTGGTTGGGGTCCTCTTCACTCCAGGTTTAGGGCTGCGGCTCTCTGCACGACTGCATCAAAACACGAAAACTTAGGCATGCAAACTCTACACAGAAACTGGGATTTGAATGTAGCTTTCTTGCTTTAGTCATTTATTAAGCCAACAAAATCAAATTATAATCACCTAATTATTTCAGTCATTTACCTTTACCATAGATGAACATTACTTGCACAGACACATTTATTTATCTAACTGAGCATCAGTTAAAGACATTGAAACATTTACTTCACAATGATGATTATAGAAAAAAGATATGATATATACTACACTCACCTGACTCATTTTGGTCCTTTCTGCACTTAAAATGCCTTCACTACAAAATCTTACTGTCATAATCTTAATCCTAATATCTATGCTGCAAATTAGCCATTTAAACATATTCCATTACCAAACGCTGCCAGGAGAGGGCGACACACACAAGCATTCTCATAGAAATTAAGACTAGAGTAGAATTTTCTATATACTATTATGTAAGTTACAACAGAAGAATATGAAATAGACTACTGATGTCAATGTTTTAAGGAATATTTTAAAAAATTAAATATGAATTAAGTGTAATATAGGGTTACAAACTTATATAAATGTATGCACTCATTTTGAAATAGAGTGAAACGATGATGTAACTAAAATATATCATTAGCAATGTTAAATCTTAAGTACCTTTGTTCATGTATCTCTGCCTCTTCCTCAGTGCTGCTCGTAGAGGCCGAGTCTGGGTCCGTCACCAGGACAGCGCCCCCCTGTGGTGAGTAGAGTGACACATCGGGCCGGCGTCCTGGAGAGGGAGGGGGCAGCCTGCTCCCTCCCCCTCCTCCAGCCTGGGTCGGACAGTGAGGCGACTCTGGGGTCTGGGGTTTTCGTCTTGGCGGTGGCACTGGTCTACTTGGTTTCTTAACTGACAAACAAGCACTACTAGATCTTTGTTTGTCCTCCATCGCATCCTTCTCCGCATCCCCCTCTTCCCGTTGTTGTTGGCAACCGCTCTCCTTTTCCAATTGCGCTTGTGCCCCGGTTCTTTCGCTCTTCTCCTCTCCCTGCTCTCCCACTGCTGCTCCCTCTTTTTCATTTGTCAAATTATGTCCCTTCTCTCTCTCCATCCCCTCCGCTTTTTCTCTCTCTCTGTCACTGCTTTTCCTGGAGGAGCGTAGGGGAGCGCGAGGAACTGACGGACCCGCTCTGCTTTGAGGCATAGGAGGCCGTGACGGAGCATTTGAAGTGATTTTTTTATCGGTTTTATCCTCTACTACTTTGGCTTCTTCCTTTTTCTCGTTTGCAGAAGATTGCGTTGATGATGTAGATGCAAACAAGAGACCCGTCCCACTCGAAACGCTGGGAGGTCGCGGAGGGGGACGTTTATATTTCGTATCCAAATGGGGTTTGTTGTGAACTTTGACCCCGAGGTTGACCTTCTCGGGGGTCTCTCCGTTGTGCAGAGGTGAGGAGGCATTCTGGGAGGTGGAGTCTTCGGGTTTGGAGGACGTACATGTCTCAGGCTTGTCTGGTGTAATTGGATTTTCCTCAACTATAACTGGATTCAGATGCAAATAGACTCTGCTACAGTGTGAGCTGCTGCAGTCCTGTTTCGACTGAAGATGCAGGTCTGAAGTCCAGAAATCTAAAAATAAAGAAATGACAAATACATCTGCTAAGTTTGATTTATGATAGAGTCAAAGTAAATATATATAATTTTTTATTCAAATAATTTTAAGTGGACAGGACCTTAAAGGTAGCCTGATTCACCAGCCGGTTTCACTTTGTAGAAACCGTCTGACCTTGCAGCATAAGAATTTGTTCGCTCGACGGTAGGCAGGTACTTTTTATCATTTAACCAATTGCTGCTATTTAGTCGTAACAGGGCTAACTGGTATATTAAGCTTTATATATTAAGTACATTAAGCTTTTCCCAAATCCCGTAAGAAGAAGGGCAATAACGTCTTTCCCCTTGAAGAAATGCACCAAACACTCTCTTTATTCCGGCTTTAAATCCTCGATCTCGGGAACTGTTGCCAACACAGAATATATGGCTCTTCGCTGATTGGCTGGTGCCCAAACTTGCACTTCTGGGGTTTTTGCGAACTGTCTAGTGTATTTTGATTCCTGGCCTAGTCGCTGGAGAGAAATGAAATTGAGCGGAGGCACTAGGTGGCACCAGCCTGGCAACTTTAAATATGCAGTGTGTAACTTTTTGTTTTTTGGGGTCTGTCATGTACTCGTTTCTATGGATATGTCATTGCTTTGCCTGGAATGTTCCACAGTATGACATTAAACCACTCTACCTTACATTTATCCAATTATAGGTGGTTTTAGAGCTAAAAAAAAACTAAACCCCCCCCCAAAAAAAAACAGGCAATCTGAATGTGAGCAGGGTTGGCTCTCCACAGATCTGACCTGTAAATTGGCCTGGTTTGGTCTCCTTGAAAATAGAAAGGTTTAGTACCCTATTGTGAAGTATTCCAGATGAAGCAATGACATCTCCATGGAGAAAAGCATTTGACTAATCCTCCACCAGAAAAGTCACACAATTCACCTTTAACCTACAGATAGAAATTTTCCTCATTCTCAGTATATGGACAGCATATACTGCAGTAACAGAGGCTGCACAAGCACATATTCAGTACTGGATGCAGATGCTGGGCAAGTGACCATTCAGATCAGAGAGAGGCATTTTAGATTTAAAACCAGCTGGATTTCAGCTTTGAAACTGGCAACACAAATGGGAGACTCATGTGAGGCTCATTCTGCTTTCTGATTGGATACAAACCTTGAGAACCAAAACACAAAAATTATAACTTGGCAATAACAGTTTGTAACTAGGCAAGTCAAGACAAGTTTATTTGTACAGCACAAATCGTACACAAAGTTCATTCAAAGTGCTTTACAGAATCAAAGCTGCATTGTGTAACTTTTCCGGTGGAGGATCCTTCAAATGCTTGTCTTCATGGAGCTGTTATTGCTTTGTCTGGAATGTTTCACAGTATGGCATTAAACCTTTCTATCTTCATGGAGACCAAACCAGACCAAGGTACAGGTCAAATCTGTGGAAAGGCGACCCCTTTCACAATCAGAATGCCTGTTTCTGTTGGTATTGGCACTGGTATTTTTGTGAACTAAACTACATGTAATTTAATAAATGTAATGTTGGGCTGTTTAATGTCATATTGTGGAACACCATAATGTTACACAGTGCACGTTTAAAATCAAAATACAAACAAATCAAAACTTAAATAATCACCATAAAATTTGAATTTAAAGAGGTTAGAGAAGAGTGCTTTCAGTCATATGCACAGATAAACAGAACTGCTTTGAGCCTGGATTTAAATATAGTCAAAGTAGAGGTCTGTCTAAGAATAAATCAGCATTACAACAAGCTGTATTTGATTTGCACATGTCTACTTTGTATCTGGGGAAACAGTTGGATCATGTTTATGGAGTTTAACATCAATCTTACATACAGCTCCCTCTAAAGAGTGTGAAATCATTATACATGTTTTAAAGGTAGAGGAAACTGATGCACTTAAAATGACCTATTATGCAAACCCCAAATAAAATGCAGGGCCAGAGTAAAATATATACTTCTACTAAATGGGGTCCAAATCTTCAAAAAATCTTCAATAAAAATACTCAAATTATGAATTTACAAAATGAGCGCTATAATCAAATTTTAAGGGTCCATATTATGATATTTTCTGATCTATGTTATAATCTTGTTTCTATGGAGTAAGAAAGATTTCAGAAATATTTGTGTGCGTAGGATAGAAATCTGTGCATATTTGGTTGTAGTTGAGCATAAAATAGATATTCGTAAACTCTTGAATGAGTCCAGTGGTACATAAAATATATTGTGTGTATTTTATCCTTCAGAATACAAATTGAAAAGTTACGACATCAAGAATCACAATTACGAAAAGAAAATTTAAGATTACGCTTTCTTCAGTATGAATACGAATTCACAGACGTGACTTTACTGTGAAAAATACATCATCACTGCACAGGAATTATTTGCATAGATGCAGGACTTTTGCGCCATATATGGACTGAACCAGGACTGAACCAGGACTGAACCAGGACTGAACCAGGACTGAACCAGGACTGAACCAGGACTGAACCAGGACTATTTCGTATTCGTACTGAAGAAAGTGTAATCGTAAATTTTCATTTCATGATTGTAATTCTTGATGTCGGAACTTTTCAATTTGTGTTCTGATAAAATACACACAATATACTTTATGTACAACTGGACTCATTTGATAGTTTACGAATATTTATTTTATGCGCAACTACAGCCAAATATGCACGGATTTCCCAAATATGCACGAATTTCTGTCCTATGCACATGGATATTTCTGAAACCTTTCTTACTCCATATGTTTCCTCTTCACAAACAGACCTGGAGTTTTGTTTTGTTTCATTCACATGTTTAACACACAAACTCTGCATATTTAGGCTGTCTCTCAAATGGAAAAAACTCCCACCTTGTGATGTCATGTGGTAATACAGTAAGTGCTCAAGTGTGTTTTTTTTAACTCCATACACCTTCACTGAATTATTTGGATGATTTCAACTCTAGAATTACCTTTTAACTTATCTCTAATGAACTTAAGGTAAAAAGTAGCTGTTAACTTGAAAACTACCACTTCATGACATCACAAGGTGGAGCAGAGCATTTTGAGCTTTGGCGATATAGACAGACTAATAATAAAGTGCTACTCTAACATGTGTGAATGAAACAAAACACAAATCCAGATATGTTTTTGATGTAGTAATAGCATTTTAACATGACTAAAAGCTCACATGAGTCCGTTTTGCGTAATACAGGATCTTTAATCTGCATTTAGTAATTGAAATTTAGTTGGATTTTGAGTCTTGACAACAAAAAAACTCCTACACAATTGCTACATCCCACCAGTCACTGCCAATTTCGTAACTAAAAGAGAGGACACTGTAAACTGTAAACCTAACCTTCATTTATCACATTGACCCTTTCTTTCAGTCCAAACTAATGTATTTACCTTTTCCTGTGGCAGCAATGACCTCGAGCTCCTCTCTTTTCGTTGCCGTGGTGATGGCCTGGGGTAACCTTAGCGACAGAGGAAGGACGTCCCTGAATCAGAGAACGAAAACAAAACGGTAAAACATATCCATACACAGCTCCGATGGGAATAAAGTGTTATATATTATTTGGTTTGTGTCAGTATTGATTAGTTTTTTTATATTTATTTAAAGGGCACATATTACGCTATTCTCTGATCTATGTTATAATTAGGGCTGGATATCATTAAGAAGTTACCGATACGATACATACCTCGATACATAGGCCACAATTCGATACATATCTCGATACAGTGCAGTTTCAGTTCGATACGGTATATTTCAAATCAATTCAATACGGTTCAATAAAAAATAAAGGCTAAATCATGGCTGTGATACTAAAAGTCTTTGTTAAGCCACTTGAAACACAAACATTTTAATCATCAAAACAGTGAAAATGTCAAATGTGTTGCATAAACGAGTTTCCTCCCTCTGAACAAACAACAAAACTATCGCGCTGTAACCAAATCATTTAGTAAAATATACCAAAAAATACTCTCCGAGATATATCGATACAGCAGCCCTCGATATCAAGATACGGTACGATATATTGATATTTCGATATTTTTGCACACTCCTGGTTATAATATTGTTTCCTCATCACAAATATACCTGGACTTGTGTTTTGTTTCATTCACATTTAACACACAAATCCTGCAAGACTAAGTTCTTCTCTCAAACAGAAAACGCTCTGTTCCACCTTGTGATGTCACGGGGTGTTACAGAAAGTGCTTCATTGCGTTTTTAAACTCCGTACACCTCCATTTGGTTATTTGGTACATTTCAAATGTGGAATTGCATATCTCTTCTGAAGTAAAGGTAAAATGTAGTAAAAATGTAAAAATCTGTTAACTTGAAAACTTGAAAGCTTGGGAGATGTAGACAGACTAATACTACAGGATTACTCAAACGTGTGTGAAGAAAACAAAACACTACTTCAGGTATGTTTTTGAGGAAGTAACAATATTATGACGTGTTAAAGCTCACATGAATCACTTTTGCGAAATACGGAACCTTTACTGACAAGCACATAAGTAGCTACGAAAGATTTGTGTGGAAAAAGTGACTATACCATGAATTACGTTAGTTTTTAGTAGAAGTGTGTGGGCAGTCTAAATCATGTGCTCTTTTAGGCATGTATTTATTACCTGCTGACACAGTAGAAAGACAGGAGTTTAAAGATGTCATCAAAAACCAGGAAGGAACCATCCAAGTGCAGAACTAAAAGAGGAAATACACTCATGTTTTATTCAGTTTACAATTCACTGGAAGATAGCTAACCTAATTCTAAGATATTGACATGTTTCAGAGTGATGGAAAATGTACACTGTTGCCATAGCGATTCGCAGTGCAAAATGAAATATTGTTGAAGTTGTATCTCTTGAGTGCTCCACAAAGTTCTCAAAATGTCACCTTTTTACAGGACTCATGAATAGTTTCAGTTCACATCGTTCTGCAATGTCATGAATTCATTTGGAGGGCAAACTGTTGAAACTTTGCAGCAACATCATTCTGGGAGAGTGGGGGGCTTCTACATGTATGTCTATGGCAGAATGTTCAGCAGTTACCATGGTGAGACAACGCACACTGGCAAACACTCGTGAAAACGTTTTCAAATGGTCTGAAACTCAATTTTAAAAAAGTTTCAAAATGGATTTAAACAGCACCTTTTCAGGAGCTTGTGACTGTAACTTTATTTGAGAGGGACTTGTTTGTGTAGTTACAGCTAAGTTGTTAAGAATGTAGATGACATCAGCTGGAAAGTATCAACACGGGAGATTTATTGTTTTATAGAAATGTTAAAATAATGATGGGATACAAGGGTTATTTCTTTCAACTGATAACAACTGTGCCTGTATGTTTGCATAATACATCTTAGTGAATCAGAGAAGAACTTTGTGTGGATGTGGATTGGCCTTGTTATTACAGAGATATTCACTTTAAACAAGGCCAGTTTTGCAGATTAGAATGTTCTGATCTCACTATTGATATTTACTTTGCAGCTGGGGCTAACTGTAGACACTGCTCTGTCTGAAGCATTGTTACTCAAATTAGACTTTAATCTGACCTTTGTTTTTACACATTCTGACCAGAAAGAAGTGACTTAAATGGAATTACAACAGATAAGATCATTTGTGCTGTGCTTTGTTGAAAATCGAACTCCTAAACAGGACATGAACGCTCGTATTGATCGTAGGCTCCTGAAAATGTGCTGCTTAAATAAAAAAAAATTTCTTGAGTTTTTTCACTGACTGTTTTCACTTTCTTAGCAGTGTTTGCATAGTGTCACCATGGTAACAGCTGAACATCCCGTCATTTTTTCTAGTAAAAGAAACTTAAATTCTGTCAACTGGACTAAAATATTCCCTCTTAAAAACTTTGGGATGACTATGGGATTACACAGACATGTTTCTTTTTTTTTTTTAGTTTTGTGTTTTAAAGTCCTCACAGGCCCCGTGTTGCTTCACTCTCAGGTTGAGCACCTCTGGCTCTCGTTGGTCGGACTTTTGGACAGACAGCGTCACGCCTCCCTCCTCTGCGCCGTGAAGCAAGAAGAGCTACGAACACAACACAGCTGTCACCACCAGGTCAGAGCACAGAGAAAACACACACACATATACACGAGTAAGGAAGGAAGTTTTTATTTATATAGCGCTTTTCACAGACATGCGTGGCTGCCAATCTGGGCAATCGACACCACCGTCACTCACGCACACACCACTTCCACACTAGACAAAGCGGGTAAAGTGCCTTGCTTAAGGACACAACAACAGTTTTTTTTTTTGCACCTGGCACCCCACTGTGGCACCTGGTGTTCCCAGTGGTCTCCATCCAAGTACTGACCAGGCCCGACCCTGCGATCAGGCTTTGACAGACAAGCACAAATGTAAACAAGCACACACACGCATATACACACACACACAAACAAACAAACACAAATGTACATCCAAAGACAAACACAAATGTAGACACAAATACACACACAAACACAAACACAAATGTACACACAAACACACACACAGAAACGAAGAAACACAAATGTACACACCCACACACAAACAAACACACTTGTACGCACCAACACAAATGTACACACAGAGAAACACGAATGTACACACAAACACACCCACACAAACACAAATGTACACACAAACACAAACATACACACAAACACAAATATACACACAAACACACCCACACAAACACAAATGTACACACAAACACAAACGTACACACAAACACAAACGTACACACAAACACAAATATACACACAAACACAAATATACACACAAACACACACACAGAAACGAAGAAACACAAATCTACACACACACACAAACAAACACACTTGTACGCACCAACACAAATGTACACACAGAGAAACACGAATGTACACACAAACACACACACACACAAACACATGTACACAACACACACACACAACACACCCACACAAACACAAATGTACACACAAACACAAACGTACACACAAACACAAATATACACACAAACACAAATGTACACACAAACACACCCACACAAACACACCCACACAAACACAAATGTACACACAAACACAAACGTACACACAAACACAAATATACACACAAACACAAATGTACACACAAACACAAATATATCCAATCCAATCCACTTTATTTATATAGCACATTTCACAAACAAACTGTTTCCAAAGTGCTGCACAAATACATAAAAAATAACAACAATAAGATGATAAAGTAAATTACTAAAATAATACTAGTCTTAAAGTAATAAAACTAGTAAAATAATATAAAACCAGTAAAATTAAAATAAAACTACATCATAGAATAGAAATAAATAAACCAATAAATAAATTAAATCAGTAAAACTAAAAAAGAAATAAAAGACACAGAAGACCACACAACTCACGCGGTGTTAAAAGCCAGAGAATAAAAGTGGGTCTTCAGACGAGATTTAAAATTCTCCACTGTGGGTGCTGCTCGAACGTGAAGCGGCAGATCGTTCCAGAGTTTAGGGCCGACCACAGAGAAGGCCCTGTCCCCTCTGGTTTTAAGTCTCGTCTTAGGCCCCCTGAGCTGGAGCTGGACCTCGGACCTCAGAGCGCGCACAGGGGTATAAATTTGGATGAGGTCCGAGATGTACTGTGGAGCCAGTCCATTCAAAGCTTTAAAAACAAACAATAAAATCTTAAAATCAATTCTAAAATTAACAGGGAGCCAGTGCAAAGATGCAAGGATTGGGGTTATGTGCTCTCTCCTTTTTGTTCCTGTTAAAAGTCGCGCTGCAGAATTTTGGACTAACTGTAGTCGGTAAAGTGCGTTTTGCGAAATGCCGGAATAAAGTGCATTACAGTAGTCCAGGCGTGATGAAATAAAAGCGTGCATAACTTGTTCAAATAGTTTAAAAGACACAAGCACACCCACACAAACACAAATATACACACAAACACAAATGTACACGCAAACACACCCACACAAACACAAATGTACTCACAAACACACCCACGCAAACACAAATGTACTCACAAACACACCCACACAAGCACAAATATACACACAAACACACCCACACAAACACAAATATACACACAAACACACCCACACAAACACAAATATACACACAAACACACCCACACAAACACAAATATACACACAAACACAAATGTACACGCAAACACACCCACACAAACACAAATATACACACAAACACAAATGTACACGCAAACACACCCACACAAACACAAATGTACTCACAAACACACCCACGCAAACACAAATGTACTCACAAACACACCCACACAAGCACAAATATACACACAAACACAAATGTACACACAAACACACCCACACAAACACAAATGTACTCACAAACACACCCACACAGGCACAAATATACACACAAACACAAATGTACACACAAACACACCCACACAAACACAAATGTACGCACAAACCCCTACACGAACGTACAAGCTGACAGAAGGAATACAGCCAACCTAAGACAAACACTGTTGCTGTGCCATTGAGCAAGACACTTCAACCACCTTGCCTATGTATGAAAGATCAAATTTTCAAATTCATCAATCATCAACTTTTTGTTTTTGCTTTAAGTTAGGGATGCTCGAAAAAGTATTGTGATTGCGATTATGTTTGTGATTTATGTTTATGTTCAGAATGCACATTATTATAGGACCAAACTATAGATACAACAGGATTTTTCCATAAAAAGACAAACTAATTGTACTATTTTATAACTGTGCCAACTCAGAGTGCGATTTCGATTTGATTGTGATGAATCTCGCAGCCTACTAAATGTTTACAGTTAGGAAAAGTGTTAATAAGAAAAAAAAGTACAATTTAAAACCGTGATAGATCAACATGAGGAAAAGATTCATTATTTTGTTATATTGCCAATCCTTAATATAATAAAACACAATGAGCCTTACCCCGGGTCGCTCCTCCTTCAGGATGCTGGTTACTTGGTCTTGAGTCAATCCTTTCGGCCGCCATATTGGAGAGGTCTGGTGAAGCTTCTCTGTGAGGCTCAGAGCTGGAGCTTCAGGAGATTTTAAAGGATCAAAAGGAGAGTCTGAAGAATCAGGTGTAGGAGATGTTTTGGTTGGCGGAGCTGCCTCGGGTTGCTGGACAGGGGGCACTGGACTCGCGGGGGTGGGAGACAGAGGAGGGGGTAAGTTCGGGGGAGGGTTGAAACATGGGGTTTTGACTGCGGGGGATAAAGGGAGAGATAGAGAGGGAGAGCGGGACAGGTTTGGGGGAGGTTTTGGGGTGGGAGGGGGAGGAGGTTTGGGTCGAAACGGTCGTGATGGAGCAGAGGAAGGAGCGAGAGGAGAGGGGGAGGAGGAGAGGGAGATCAGAGGACCAGACTGCCTGAAAAACACAAGAAAAAACACAATTTCAGTTTATGGGTTTGCATAATTTACAGTTCCATCCAATTTTGTGTCCTATTTTGGATAATTTCTTGTTTAGAGCTACAGTGGAAATAATGTAGTCCACTTTTAGACCTGGTTTAACTCACTCAAAAATTAAATGAAACAAGCGTGTGTCTTCTTTCCAAGGTGCACTGTGTAACTTTTTGGTTTGAGGTCCGTCACCTGCTTGTTTTTATGGAGAATGACTTTAAACAGCTCTACCTTGCATGTATTACAGAACAGGTTGTTTTACTGCTGAAATATATTTAGAAAAACCTGCATTCTGACTGTGAGCGGGGTCTCCACTGATCTGACCTGTAACTTGGAGGGTTTTAGGATACTTGGATAATAGGGATGTAAGAATAACTGAAATATCGTGATATCGTATCGCCAAAGTTCTCACAATAATATCGTGGACCATCACAATATATCGAATTGCAATTACAAAATATCGCAATTAGGGGTGTCAAATTATCGCGTTAATTGTGAAATATAAAAGAAAATAACTAATATAATATCACCTACAACTTAAATGTCACTGGTGAAAACAACCTGCATAGGCTCATGATGTCTGCACTACTGTCCTATAGTGACCTGCCACATGAGGGGACACGCACACAAACACACACACACAAACACACACACACACCTTCATCATCGTCATTACCCTGAGAACGCGCGGACCACGTTTCCTTCCGTAGTTACTGCGCGGACACAGACGTGCTCCCGTGAGCCGCGTGTGGATCGTGTTTTCTCGCATACGCTGCGTAAATCCTCCTGTGCGCCTCTAAACCAGAACTAACACCAAGACTAAAACCAGGACTTATCCAGTCCAGGTCTAAACCAGGACTAAACCAGAACTAAAACCAGAACTACAACCAGGACTAAACCAGGACTAAACCAGAACTAACACCAGGACTAACACCAGGATTAATCCATTCCAGGACTAAAGTAGGACTAAAGCAGGTCTAAACCAGGACTAAAACAAGGACTAAAACCAGTGATCTCATATATAAAGCATTTCTCTATCAATAATATTTTTAATATGGTTAAGGAAAGACTGGACTTTTTATTGTCTTTAAGTAGACAAAAGGTTATTATGTTCAGATTTCCTCATCTTTGCTACTTTACAGCAAACAGTTTCTTATTCATGGAGACTTGGGCTCAACAGCCAATTTGGGGAGATTTGTTAAACAATAAATGACTTTATCAAGTCACTTTTTTTTGTTCTATATCAGTCTTTTGATCTGCCACAATAATGTAATAATGAATTTAAATGAAAATACCTCAAATTGAAGGCTTTTCTCAGCAATTTTTAGGTGAGATTAAAATGAGATTAATGAGATTAATTAATTACAGATCATAATTAATTAATCTCTCAATTTTTTTAATCGCATGACAGCACTAATCGCAATATATATTGTATTGTGAGATGTATATCGTGAAAATATCGTAACGAGAGATTTGGATATTGTTACATTCCTCATCATAAGCCTCCCCACCATATCGTGAGCTTTCCCACGATATCGCAATAAATATCGTACCGTGAGGTTCATACTGTGACGATATCGTACTGTAAGACTTTGATATTGTTACACCCCTGTTTTTTTTTTTTTTTTTTTTACTTTTTAAAAATGTGTTTAATTTATGTTTTATGTAATTTTATTGGTTTTATTTAATTATTGCTATTCTATGATTTTGCTCTTATTTTATTTTACTGGTTTTATTATTGTAAGACTAGTATGATTATTTTAGTATTTTATTTTATAATTTTATTATTGTTGTTATTATTATGTATTTGTGCAGCACTTTGGAAACTGCTTGTGTGTGAAATGTGCTATAGAAATAAAATGGACTGGACTGGATAAGCATTGCAATAATAATAATCCTACCAAATTAAGTCAAAATTCGAGAATCATAAAAGTCCAGTGCATGTGAGCTGTGCGTTGGAGCATGTAGAGAAGTACCTGCAGAAGCCCACACACAAGAACACATAAGACAAGAGACAAAGGCTTTTTAAAGTAACCACAAAACCACACGATAGGCTCTTCTGTGCATTACGCTATTGCGCATTCACCCACACAGCAACTACTGATAAAGGGACTCAAAGGTAGATTAAAGTAAGGATTAAAAATACTGTAAAAATACTTATTTTACTGTGGCTGTTTTTGTGGTTGTATGTTTTACATCTGCTGCAAAAATGTTAAAATCTGCCAAAAAAGAAAGGGGAAATTAGTTGGACCAGTGAATGTCTCAGAAAAATTTGAACCATTAAGATTTGCTTGATAAAATGGGCAGAGTTTTATCTTAAAGGTGCATTGTGAACCTTTTTTGCTTTTCTCCATGGAGATGTTATTGCTTTGTCTGGAAGGTTTCACAGTATGGCATTAAACCTTTCTATCATCATGGAGACCAAACCAGATCAAGCTACAGGTCAGATCTGTGGAGAGGCAACCCCGCTCACAGTCAGAATGTTTTTTAGGTATTTTTGAGCTATAAAACCACCTGTAATTGAATAAATGTAAGATGGAGCTGTTTAATGTCATACTGTGGAACATTCCTGGGAGAGTAATGATTAAGGATATAACAATAACCAAAATATCGTGATATCACATCATCAAAAGTCTCACAAAAGTACTCTGAGCTATCTATATATCTATATATCAAATTACAAAGTCCTTTGCTTATATGCATTTTTTATAGTAGTAATAGCTAATAAACACCGGGAACTACATATCCCAGGATTTCAGTGCAGACAACAAGAAGTTATATGTTTTTAATAGGGCCCGACCGATATGGATTTTGTTGCGACCGATAAAATGGGAGGTGGAGCTGCCGATATATTTAGTGATGTAAAAATTCACTGTAAATCTTGAATTGTTTAAAAAACTTAGATTTGGCTCTAGTGGATTTTAAATTGGGTTTATTTAGGCAACATTTATTGTTATTCTGCCTCTTTACGTCATAGTTACAGACAGTAGGTCAGACTAATGGCATTTTTACATGATGTTTTAATAGCTATTAGCCTTTAGCTGTAAATGCGTGCGCGCCGCGGTAATTAATTATATGCATAAATCTCATCATTCACACGTCTATTCACAGCTCATTTACATATCAGTACATATCCAGTAACAAATATATGGCCAATATAGTCACTTTACAATAGACCAATAGAAAACAGTCTGTTTATGTGTGAGAGCTACAGCAGCTAATCGCTAACCAATGAGAAAGAAACAAAACTAGCTTCAAATTCGACATATTTCCAACACTCACCGCTCACACAGGCTCCTCCTCACATCACAAGTCTGCACTAATAAATGTCCTTTTAATCCAGACTCAGACCGACTGTTGTAAAAAGAATATAATCTCAGTGTTTGGATCTGTGTCTGCAGGTGTAAACAAGTGCCTGACTCTGGGGGTGTGTTCAGGGACAGTACGGAAACAGACACAGACAAATTAGTCTGCAGATAAATACTGATGCAGCGCCGCATATTAGGACATTTATCTGTCTGTAAATTGGATTAAATTAACATAATGTAGAGCGTCTAAGCTTTATAAGGAAGTATAACATGCCCACGAGAAATATCGGCAAGATTTAGACCGATCGCCGATATGTTTCCAAGTGTCCATATCGGTCAGGCCATAGTTTTTAACTTGAATTATTGGGATTCTGACAGTAACAATTCACATCAAAATTTTGTCAAGGTATTTTAAAAGCAAAAAAGCGTCCTGTCAACAATTATATCAGCCTCTCCAAAATACGGTACGATATTTATTGCAGTGAGATGCATATCGTGATAATATCGTACCGAGAGATTTACTGAGAGATCGTTACATCCCTAGTAATAATATATCCATAGAAACAAGAAGATGACAGACCCCCAACCAAAAAGTTACATAATGCACCTGTACTGTAAAGTGAGTAAATGAAAGAGAATCAGGGAGATATGCTTTTCTGAGAAGCGCTCACTCTGCACCAAGAATCCACAATCTCAGACACGCCTGATGTCAGTCACAGTCATACAACACTTCTAAGTTTGATCTTTATTTTTGTCTTACTCAGTCTCCATGATTTTTAGCCACGACTCAAGAGTTTCCCCACAGAAACGAGAAATCTTGTGACGTAGACAGACAAAATGAGGAAGTGGACACCCGGCTTTAAACAAGTTTGCAGTTTTGTTTTTGTTTACTACATTCCACATGTGTCCATTCATAGTTTTGATGCCTTGAGTGAGAATCTACAATGCAAATAATCATTGAAATATAGAAAAAACATGAATGAGAAAAGGTGGATCCAAACTTTTGACTTGTACTGTAACTTTTGAATCTCTCTCTTCATCAAAACACTGACCTCTCTACCTACTAATGTCTAAGTGCCAATGTTTATCCACTCAAAAAACTGTTCACTTCACCTGCTTGTTTCCATGGAGATGTTATTTTATGCAATGTTACGCAGGGCATCTTTAAAATAACAACAAAAAAACCCCCCAAAACTCATTGCTACTCACTCTGTCTGTCACTTGTGAAATCTGATATTGCTTAAAATATTCTTGTAAGTTGTGAGACAGATTGAAATAGGATGTTGCAGGTTTTAAATACATGTGCAAACTGAAACTCCCATACCAGTGATTGTTGTGTTGTGTTGTTCTTATGGTTAGAATACTACTTAGTCTCATGTTTTGTTACTCATAGCCTCTTTTTCTTATCTAGACTATCTTATCTGTTATAATGTTGTTTCCTCATCACAAACAGACCCGGAGTTGTGTTTTGTTTCATTCAGACATGTTTGACACACATATCCTGCATATTTAGGCTCGGAATTGCATTTTTCTCTTGAAGTAAAGGTAAAAGGTAGCTGTTAACTTGAAAACTCACTTCATGACACCACAAAGTGGAACAGAGCATCTTGATCATTTGAGAAGGCACACAAACTAATGTGTGAATGAAACAAAACACAACTCTGGGTAAGTTTGTGAGGAGGTAACAGCATGATAACATGACTTAAAGCTCACAAGAGTCAATTTTGTGTAATGAATGCATTGGAATCCACAAAAGTTCAAGTAAACAATGAAACTAACACGATATTGTGGCCTGACAAAGTAGTGCATCACAACTCAGGGTCAGGAGTTCACACTGGATAACTGCAGTCAGCTGGTTTCTTTGTTAATAGTCAGCACAGCATGTAAAGGTCCTATATTCTGCAAAATTGACTCTTGTGAGCTTTAAGTCATTACCTCTGCAAAAACATACCGGGAATTGTGTTTTGTTTCATTCACATGTTTGAGTAATGCTTTATTATTAGTTTGTCTACTTCTCCAAAGCTCAAAATACTCTTTTCTAACTTATGATGTCATGAAGCGGTAGCCTGATTCAGCAGCCAGTTTCACTTCTTAGAAACAACCGACTGACCTTGCAGTATTAGAATTCGTTTGCCCAACGGTTGGCAGGTACTTTTTATCATTTAACCAATCGCTGCTATTTGGTCGTGACGTATGTAATGCGGCACTAACGGGGCTAACTGGTATATTAAGCTTTTCCCAAATCCCAAGGAGGACAATAACATCTTTCCCCTTGATGAAATTCACCAAATGTCCTCTTTCATTCTCTATCTCGGGAATCCGTTGACAGCACTGAATGTATGGCTCTTCGCTGATTGGCTAGTGCTCGAACTCGCACTTCCGGTGTTTTTGTGAACCTTCTAGTGTATTTTGATTCCTGACCAATCGCTGGAGAGAAATGAAATTGCGCCAGCCTGACTAATGAATCAGTAGTTTTCAATTTAAAAGCTGCATTTGTTTTACTTTTAGTTCAGTAGAAATTGCAGGGCTGAAGTTATCCAAATGAAACCTCCTCTTTTTGGTCTCAAAATGTTCGTATTACCACTACCCACTAGATGAGCCTGGTATTTTTATCTCGCCCCATAAATCAAGATCGGACCAGCAAGAACAGACAAATCAGCCAATAAACAGACAAAAAACAAAGGTGCTTTCTTTCCCCGAAGTCACGTTCACAACAGGTTTGCTTCTGTAACTGTCAGCCTCGATGAGCTTCATTTGACTGAAGCTGAACGCTATGGTTGACGTCACACTCGCTTAGTCCACTTCTTTATAGAGTCTATAAAACAAACAGGTGGTGGACCCTCCTCCAGAAAAGTTACACAGTGCACCGTTAATGAACTTAACTAAGTTTAGAATGAAAATGGATCAAAACTGGAACTAAACCAGGTCTTAACCAGAATTTAAGTAGGTCTAAGTTAAAAGAGCCTAATTATGGGACTGAAAGGGTCATAACATACACACGAGTAACCTACTCAAGGACTAAACATGAGTCTAAAGTGTGTGTTAACATCTTTCACATAAATGAGTCTGTATAGTTCATTAGCTCTGGTAGGAAACAGATGTGGGCTACAGACATGTTAATCTTCAATGTAAACAAGAGCAGCTTTCCTCATTCGACCTTGTGAAAGCCAGTCCTTAGAGTGGGAGTCAGAGAAAGGCAACGTTTAATCAAAAGTTTTAAATTCTTTGTGAAAAATTGTTGTGTTTTTAGCAAGACGTCTTTCAAAAGCAGCTTGATTCAGCGGCTGGGGGATATTTTGATTTAAACTTGAGAAGTCTAACAGTTAGCGGAAAATATGTCTTGAATCCCCACAAAGTTACATCTGTTTTCTAAGTTATGAAAATCAACCATTCAGCACGCATTCCAGGCTAAGCATATGCACCAAAAACAGGTCTAAACCAGGACTAAACCAGGACTAAACTACAACTAAACCAGGTCTAAAATCACATCTAAATAAAAGTAAAGAGAATTTTAGTAGTTCACACTTGCATACATCAGAACTTGGACTAAACCAGGACTTGATGAGGTCTAAACCAGGACTTAACTAGAACCAAACCTGGTCCAAAATCCAAGGTACTAAATAAAAGAAACCAGGACTTAGGTAGTTCACATTTCCATACATCAAAAGTTGGACTAAATCAGGACTTGACGAGGACTAAACCAGGACTGAACCTAGACCAGACCAGCACAAAACCAGGATTAAACCAGGACTAAACTAGAACCAAATCAGATCTAAAACTACAGAATAAAAAAACAAGACTTAAGTAACGGAAGTTCACTTTTACACTCATCAAAAGTTGGACTAAACCAGGACTTGACGAGGACTAAACCAGGACTAAACTAGAACCAAACCAGGTCTAAAATCAGTACTAAATAAAAGAAACCAGTATTTTAGTAGTTCACACTTGCATAAATCAAGCGTTGGACTAAATCAGGACTAAACCAGGACTAGACCAGCACAAAACCAGGACTAAACCAGGACTAAACTAAAACCAAACCAGATCTACCAAATAAAGGAAACCAGGAAGATAAGAGCAAACCAGGACAAATGTGAATGCACTCTAAAACGGGATATAACTAGGTCTCGAACTAAACTTGGCCTAAACCAGGATTAAACCAGGGCTAAACCAAAACTAAACCAGGTCTAAATTTGGTCTAACTCAGGACCAAAAAAATGATTTAACCAAATACAGAACTACATTTCTTAAACAGAACTCAAAGGTACAAAATCACACAGATGGGTCCAGACTAAACCAGGTCTAAAACAGGACTTAGCTGGGGGAGGTATTATAGTTTTAGGGTCTAAACAAGGATTAAACCAGAACTAAACAAGCTCTAAATCTGGACTACATCTGCATGGTCCAAACTGAACTTGGTCCAGTTTTAACTACCCCAAAAACTTCTTCCAAATTAACTACAGATTATTCATTGTTGCAAAACTGTACAAAAACTTCTACTTTAGAATTGAGTTTTGTTTTTTTTTTAAATTGGTTTAAACTTGGTATAAACCTGGTCTAAATCTGGTCTAAACCTGGACTAACTTAGCTCCAAACTGAACTTAACTAACCTCAAAGACTTCCTCCTAAAACACACATTCACCGCATTGAAACACACTCTTGCAAAACCTTTAAGTTACATTTCCATTTTCGACATTGTCCAAAACTCACCATTCAAAACTACGAATCTCGCACTGACCTATATATTAGTCCATGAGTCATCACATCTGTTTTGTGTTCTTTGGCAGCTTTACTCTGACCCCCCTCCTTTTTTTACACATTCCCAACCCCCTACAACTCAAACAGCTTTTCGCAACACTTTAAAACTCAACTCTATCCTCCTTTTTACTTTATAGAGACTTTTAAACTCACCCGGTATCTGCAACAAGACTAGCCTCCATCACAGCTCCTCTGCTAAAGTTTTGTCAGACCGTTCTATGACACTTCACTGTAAAAAATCAAAACCACACCTCTTTGGTTTCTCTGGCTCCCCCTCTTCCCCTCGTCCTCCCCCTCCTCCCTTCTGCTTCCTGCTTCAAGACTGAATAAGGGAAAAGTCTATGGGGAAAATGCATATGTCTGTCACTACACTGCAAAAGAGTTCAGTTGTTAGAATATAGAATAATGCTCACGAGCCTCTGATAAGTGTTTTGGAATTAGACCGAGATGAAGTGCATTTTTTATGACATGATATTAAAGGTGTGCTATGTAACGGATCAGAACTAAACCGGGACTAAACCGGGACTAAAGCAGGACTAAACATGAAATAAATCAGGGCTAAACTAGAGCTAAATAAGGACTAAACTGGAACTAAACCAGGGCTAAACCAGGACTAAACTAGGACTAAACCAGAGCTAAATAAGGACTAAACTAGAACTAAAACAGGTCTAAACCAGGACTAAAACAGAGCTACACCAGGACTAAACCAGTTCTAAACCAGGACTAAACCAGGATTAAACTAGGACTAAACCAGGACTAAACCAGAGCTAAATAAGGACTAAACCAGGGCTAAACCAGAACTAAACCAGGACTAAAACAGAGCTAACCAGGACTAAACCAGTTCTAAAAAAGGACTAAACCAGAGCTAAACCAGGACTAAATCAGGACTAAATCAGTTCTAAACCAGGACTAAACCAGAGCTAAACCAGGACTAAACCAGGACTAAACCTGTACTAGATTAGAACTAAACCAGGACTTGCAGAATACTCAATCAGATCTAAAACAATATAAAAAGAGTTCAAATGAATACTACACTATACTACACTATACTACACTATAATATAATATATGACATGATATGATATGGAATGCTATATGCACCAGTGTTGTGTATCTTAATATTTGTTTACACCTAGATTAAGTACATGGTTTTCTGACATTTATGGCTGATATTAAAGGTGTACTATGTAACTTTTCTAGCTGTTTACTTTCCTTGGAATGTTCCATATTACATATACATACATACATCTTGCATTTATTCAATTACAGTTTTTATTTTGCTAAAACAACACCCTGAAAACCTGCCTTTTTTAATGTCAGTGGGCTTGGTTCTTGCTTCTCCATAGATCTGACTTGTATCTTTATCAGGTGATCGTGCTTTTTGCCCAGTATTATCCTGATGTAGACTTAGTTTGGTCCTGTTCTAGTCCCCAGTTTTGTACCTGAGGCTGTACTCTGCATCAAAATGGGACTAAATGAGGACTAAACCAGAACTAAACCAGGACTAGACCACAACCAGATCAGGGTCAAAACAGGACTTAAATGAGGACTAGAACTAGACCCAACCTGATCTAAACCACGACTGTATTGGGACCAACCAGAACAAAAAAAAACAAGTGTGTGGATACAGCCTTAATAATAATCAGTTAGCTTCAAAATCAGGACCCTTGTATTGAAACAAATCATAAATATGTCACATTACATCTTTTATATTATTTTTCTTTGATGTTTTTGCAGTGTAGTGTTGTGTGTACTTCCTCCGTGTTTCACAGGAAGAGGCCAAGCCCACTGGCCAAACTTCCCCTTTACATCTTCTCTTAATTTTTATCGTTCACACTGCTTCTAATTTAAGCCTTAAATACCCCTCATACTTTCGTATTTGATTATTTGTATTTGACTTCTTCTTGTACTGCAAACATGTTTTTCTGTTCGAGTTCAAATGAAATTCCAAGTTAAAAGTGAATTTTGATTTGAGAAATTTGGAGAAGTTTAATATTTCTGATTAAACTTATCCACCTCCATGGAGACAAACCAGTGACTCACCAGGCTAAGTTACAGGTCAGATTTATGGAGAAATGTTTCTATTCAAGCATGCATGTTTTTCAAGGTATTTTTAGCAATAAAAAACTAACTGAATAAATGTGAGATTATAAGAAAATGTCTTTTAAAAGTTATTTTCTAATCGCTGTTATTATAATGTTTCAGCATCAAAAACAGACCTGGAGTTTTGTTTCGTTCACACGTTTTTAACACACAGTTCTTCTCTCAAACAGAAAACACTCTGTTCCACCTTGTGATGTCATGAGAAGCTACAGGAAGTACTCCACTGTGTTTTTAAACTGTGTACACCGTCACAAGAATCAGTTGTATTTCAACTCTGAAACTGCCAATCTCTATTGAACTAAAGGTTAACGGTAACTGATTAATTAATTGCCTCTTCATGACATCACAAGGTGGAGCAGAGCATTTTGAGCTTTGGAGATGTAAACAGACTAATAATAAAGTGTTACTCAAACAAGTGAATGAAACAAAACACAACTCCAGGTCTGTTTCTGAGGAGGCAACAAGGAGGGCTGTGCAAAAATATTGAAATATTGATATATCGTATCGTTTAATGTGATGATACAATATCAGTATTGTGGGCTGCTATATTATTTTGTTACAGCGCTACTGTTTTGTTGTTTGTTTAGAGGAAGGAAACTCGTTCACACTGCAAAAAGTGATATCTAGGTTAGAATGACTTAAATTAAGAACTTTATTATTGACTTTATTTGAGTAGATTCTTAGTAAGGCTGACACCACCTAGTGCCGCCGCTCAATTTCATTTCTCTCCAGTGACAAGGTCAGGAATCAGAATAAACTACATCAGGGGTGTCAAACTCATTTTGGTCCGGGGGCTGTATCCAACCTACTTTGATCCCAAAGGGGCTGGATCAGAAAACTCATGACATATAAACCCCAAAAATAACAATCAGTTCAAATATTTGTGCAGAGAAACACAAATCTATTACAGGAATCTTTTTGAATTGATGAACTCTTTCTTTTACAAAATATTATAATATTATGAACAACCTGAAACTTTAAGAAAAATACAATTTCAACACAATGTTTTAACATAAACTTGTATGTAAATAAGAATAAGTCAATTTTTTTAAAATCCTGCACTGGAACTCCACTTTTCTCATTTTTGGACATTTTGATGATGAGGGTGTCACGGTCAAAAGTCAAAACGATCGTCCTTTAAGAGCGTTTGGAAAGAGACAAGTCTTCATTTGTGCTGCTCTGGTGGGAGGGGCCACGTACAGAGACACTGGAGACGCTGCTATGCTAAGCACCGCAGAAAATTACCAATATTTTAATAGAAAAGTAATAAAAATCAGCCGAGAGCCAGATTAAATGTCTTGGAGGGCCCCTGGACTGAATGTTTGACAGCCCTGCTTTACTGTATTGTCTTTAGAAAGAACCCAAGTAGTTAAAGGGTGTGTTTCATATTCACTTTGCACAAGACGTGGTTTAACAAAGACTTTTAGTATCACAGCCATCACTTAGCTTTTATTCTTATTGAACCATTGTTTTGAAATATATTGTATCAAAAGCTCACTGAATCGAGATATGTATTGTATTGTGGTAAATGCTAAATGGTCACATTTTTCTATAGTGCTTTTCCACCTTCAAGGCACTCAAAGTGCTTTACAACAAGGAACCACTCACCCATTCACACACACATTCACACACCAGTGTACGCAGACACTGTGTGGCCTGTGTATCGAGGTGTGTATGGTATCGGCAACTTCTTAATGATATCCAGCCCTAATAACGACTTTATAATAAGGCGTAAAGCTCACCAGAGTAAAATTGGTCTTTAAAACATGAACTGTTTTGAAACCTAAAACGACTCAGATTAATATTTTAGGCTTGACGTCATTTCAACTCATTTGACATTGGTTTTTTTACAGTGTTACTAGAACAGAACAGCACTCTCATGTTCTATCCTTCACACACTGGGGAGATTCACACTGAGATACTCCCTCCCTTCTTCTTCCTCTCTCTCTCTCTTTCCCCCCCTCCTCTTTCTTGCTCCTCTCCTCCTCTTTCTTCTTTTCCCCTCCTCTCCCTGTTCTTCTCTCCCTTCCTCTTTCTTCTCCTCCCCTCCCCTCCTCTTTAAAGACTTCCAGATGCTCCAGGCTACAGCTCAGACAGAAGAATGCGGTTTTATGTTCCTTTGACTCAATCAGCATTTTAGCACTTTTGAATTTGTCTCTCTTTGTGCATTATCATTGGATTCCTCTCACACAAACACGGCAAAAAATAACATCTTAACAAAATGACTTTAATCTAGGTTTATACGTACTACTCTAATCCAATTTCTGAAAACAAGATTGTATTTTTGATTTAATTTGTCCTCTGCATTTGACCTCTGCATATGACCCACCCATTCTTCAAGGGGGTGCGCCGTCCACCCACTTCTCCCGACGTGAGATATAAAAAAATAACAAATATAAAATGGCTACAACTTAAATGTCAAACCAGAGATATTGGCAAAGGTGAAAACAAACTGCATAGGCTCATGAAATCTGCACTACTGGAGACCTGAGACATGAGGGACCAGGACTGAACCAGGACTGAACCAGGACTGAACCAGGACTGAACCAGGACTGAACCAGGATTGATCCCAGGACTGAACCAGGATTGATCCCAGGACTGAACCAGGACTAAACCAGGTCTAAACCAGAACTGCACCCCACGGGGGCAAAGCGCAGCCTCCGTCCAGTCGCGCTTTGTGGACACCTTGCTTCGCGGGCTTGGGGTTCTCCCTCTTTCTCAAGTCCAAGATTAGTCCTGGTTTAGTCCAGGTTTAGTCCAGGTTTAGACCTGGTTTAGACCTGGTTTAGGCCTGGTTTAGTACTGTTGTAGGCCTGGTTTAGTACTGTTGTTGTCCTGATTTAGTCCTGGTTTAGTACTAGTTTAGACCTGATTTAGACCTGGTTTAGTTCTGGTTTAGTCCTGGTTCAGTCCTGGTTCAGATCTGCTTTTGTCCTAGTTTAGTCCTGATTTAGTCCTGGTTCAATCACAAATCTCTTACCCCCACTTAAAAAATCCCCACTACACCACTGGGGGTGTTCTACATGTATCTCTGTGGTTGAATCTTCAGGAATTTCCACTGTTCCACAATACACACTTTAGCAAACACTGCCAAAAAAGTTTGTCTGAATACTCAAGAAAGGGAGTTTGATTTTCAAGAGAAAGATGA